TTCTACAGTCAGACTGAGTTCGTGTCAGAGAACTTAAAACATTCTATTATGTGAAGATCGAAGACATTTTTTGCTTTTCTTAAATACCAGGAGTAAGGAGTAAAAGTGAAATGCACTAAGAATTATTTTTTTAGTCTTAAAATGTGGTCCTGAATAAAAGATAAATAGCACTTGAATTCAGAAATTCACTATATATCTTGCCTTGGATATAATTAATTTTTTCTTAGAATCACTGCTGTCTTAAGTCATTTCTAACTTGTCAAATATCAGCCAGACATAGATGCAGGATGGCTTGATCCCAGCTGACTTAATATTTTTTAAGATCAGAGTCACATTACATTCCACCACAGCTCTAATTTAATCCACAATGTATTTTTAGATTAAAAAATGTCCAAATTATTCATACCCAAGTCAGATCACATATTTATCATGTATTGAAATATTTGAGTATACTGTATATACATATTCATTTATATATATTTATATTTCAAATGCATATATTTATGCAAACACCTTTAAAGAGCAATGGATTCCTCATTAATAAAGAAAGTATTCCTATAAAAGAAAAATAGTTCAAGGCTAATACTTTCTTGACACACAGTTAAACCCACCTGGATTCTGTAAAAGTAGAAGAGTAGCAAAAGAAATTTTTGCACAAAAATATAAATTTATTCAATCAAGACAGCCCAGCAAGATTAAAATAAATTACAATATATTGTGGGTTCCCAATACATCTTGAAATGAAGATGTATCTTAACTCAAATAAAACTACTACTAAAAATTCAAATGGCCTTTTAATCACTTGAAGTAAGTGTCAGGTCTCTAAGGACCAAATGCCATGGCCTATGTCAGACATATCCATTCAAAAACTGAGAGATTAATTTCATGCCATGTTGAGTGAGTCAGGGAGCTAGAATTGGACATTGCAGGTGATGTCAATCAATTTATTCACACAACAATTGGTCAAATAAGATTCCTGATGAAGGAAAGATTCAGAGAGCTTGAATAATTGCAAATGATTGTGAATATAAAGTAGATGTAAAGGAGACTACTTGTACAGATGTGGATGAATTTGCAGACATGGTTAGTTTCAAGATAGAAGACAAAATCAATCAGAGAAATCATATGGAATCTTTGTGGCAAAATGATAACCATACAAGCAAAAATTTTTTTGGGAAAAAACCTCTTTCAGATATAGAAAGTAAACCAAGACACTACAATGATGACAGAATTGCAGCTAGAAATCCTCCAGATGCCACTGGAAGGACATTGAGGGAGAATTAAGCAGGGAGAACATGCAGAGGCAGAAGTCTCTACAAAGGATGCTGAAAAATTAATTTATGATGCTGAATTTATCAGAGTCAGAAGTCCAATTAAATCAGCCTCTGGACTTTCTACACTTTCTACATCCTCTGAACATCTTTCTCAAAGATTTAGAATGCCTAAGTGTTAGCAAAGCTGTGTCTTTTTTTTTATTGTTTTATTATTCATATGTGCATACAAGGCTTGGGTCATTTCTCCCCCCTGCCCCCACCCCCTCCCTTGCCACCCACTCCGCCCCCTCCTTCTCTCCCCCACCCCCTCAATACCCAGCAGAAACTATTTTGCCCTTATCTCTAATTTTGTTGAAAAGAGAGAGTAAGCAATAATAGGAAGGAACAAGTGTTTTTGCTGGTTGAGATAAGGATAGTTATACAGGGAGTTGACTCACATTAATTTCCTGTGCATGTGTGTTACCTTCTAGGTTAATTCTTTTTGATCTAACCTTTTCTGTAGTTCCTGGTTCCCTTTTCCTATTGGCCTCAGTTGCTTTTAAGGTATCTGCTTTAGTTTCTCTGTGTTAAGAGCAATAAATGCTATCTAATTTTTAGGTGTCTTACCTATCCTCACCCCTCCCTTGTGTGCTCTCACTTTTATCATTGTTGTGTTTGCCCTTGATCTAATGTCCACATATGAGGGAGAACATACGATTTTTGGTCTTTTGGGCCAGGCTAACCTCACTCAGAATGATGTTCTCCAATTCCATCCATTTACGGGCAAATGGTAACATTTTGTTCTTCTTCATGGCTGCATAAAATTCCATTGTGTATAGATACCACATTTTCTTAATCCATTCATCAGTGGAAGGGCATCTTGGCTGTTTCCATAACTTGGCTATTGTGAATAGTGCCGCAATAAACATGGGTGTGCAGGTGCCTCTGGAGTAACCTGTGTCACAGTCTTTTGGGTATATCCCCAAGAGTGCTATTGCTGGATCAAATGGTAGATCAATGTTTAGCTTTTTAAGTAGCCTCCAAATTTTTTTCCAGAGTGGTTGTACTAGTTTACATTCCCACCAACAGTGTAAGAGGGTTCCTTTTTCCCCACATCCTCGCCAACACCTATTGTTCGTGGTGTTGCTAATGATGGCTATTCTAACAGGGGTGAGGTGGAATCTTAGTGTATTTTAATTTGTATTTCCTTTATTGCTAGAGATGGTGAGCATTTTTTCATGTGCTTTTTGTCCATTTGAATTTCTTCTTTTGAGAAAGTTCTGTTTAGTTCACATGCCCATTTCTTTATTGGTTCATTAGTTTTGGGAGAATTTAGTTTTTTAAGTTCCCTATATATTCTGGTTATCAGTCCTTTGTCTGATGTGTAGCTGGCAAATATTTTCTCCCACTCTGTAGGTGTTCTCTTCAGTTTAGAGACCATTTCTTTTGATGAACAGAAGCTTTTTAGTTTTATGAAGTCCCATTTATCTATGCTATCTCTTAGTTGCTGTGCTGCTGGGGTTTCATTGAGAAAGTTCTTACCTATACCTACTAACTCCAGAGTATTTCCTACTCTTTCCTGTATCAACTTTAGAGTTTGTGGTCTGATATTAAGATCCTTGATCCATTTTGAGTTAATCTTGGTATAGGGTGATATACATGGACCTAGTTTCAGTTTTTTGCAGACTGCTAACCAGTTTTCCCAGCAGTTTTTGTTGAAGAGGCTGCTATTTCTCCATCGTATATTTTTAGCTCCTTTGTCAATGGCAAGTTGATTATAATTGTGTGGCTTCATATCTGGGTCCTCTATTCTATTCCACTGGTCTTCATGTCTGTTTTTGTGCCAGTACCATGCTGTTTTTATTGTTATTGCTTTGTAATATAGTTTGAAGTCAGGTATTGTGATACCTCCTGCATTGTTCTTTTGACTGAGTATTGCCTTGGCTATTCGTGGCCTCTTGTGTTTCCATATAAATTTAACAGTAGATTTTTCAATCTCTTTAATGAATGTCATTGGAATTTTGATGGGAATTGCATTAAACATGTAGATTACTTTGGGGAGTATCGACATTTTTACTATGTTGATTCTACCAATCCATGAGCATGGGAGATCTCTCCACTTTCTATAGTCTTCCTCAGTCTCTTTCTTCAGAAGTTTATAATTTTCCTTGTAGAGGTCATTCACATCTTTTGTTAGGTTTACACCTAGGTATTTGATTTTTTTTGAGGCTATTGTAAATGGAATTGTTTTCATACATTCTTTTTCCGTTTGCTCATTATTAGTGTATAGAAATGCCAATTATTTTTCTATGTTGATTTTATATCCTGCTACCTTGCTGTAGCTATTGATGATGTCTAGAAGCTTCTGAGTAGAGTTTATTGGGTCTTTAAGGTATAGGATCATGTTGTCTGCAAATAGGGATATTCTGACAGTTTCTTTACCTATTTGTATTCCTTTTATTCCTTCTTCTTGCCTAATTGCTCTGGCTAGGAATTCCAGTTCTGTGTTGAATAGGAGTGGAGATAGTGGGCATCCTTGTCTGGTTCTGGATTTTAGAGGGAATGGTTTCAGTTTTTCTCCATAAAGTATAATGCTGGCTGTAGGTTTGTAAAGCTGTGTCTTGAAACTGGGCTGAGATAGGCCTTCTGTGACAGACTATATCACTAGAGAATTCTGATCCTCAGAGCACCCCGGGTGAACATGTTCATAAGAAAACTTGTGTTTCAACTATTCCTCAAAGCAGGGGCAGCATAGAAGAAGATGCTCAGTATCCTGGATTACAAGATTTCATTGAAGTAAGCCATCATAACGAAGATAGATTTTTAGAAGGATTGTTTCCCCAGTGAAAAAATGAGTTTGCATCTTCTTGCTGGTAGAGTAACTGGTGATATTAATACTAACAAAAAATAAATGTCAGATATTGTGGAAACTATGGAAACAGATTCCTCAATTATGCCACAGGGTGTTTTGATGAGTAGCCTTGATAAAAAAAAACATACCTGCCTAATGTGGTATGTATGTTTTTTACCCCGCAAAAAAAGAGTAAACTAAAATTTCTCAGTCTATATTTTTTATAATAAAAGTCACACTACAGAATTCTACCTTGTTGATTCAGTTAAACTGCATGAATTCATTCCCTCAGGACCTAAAGAACATGCTAGATTTATTTCCTTTGGTGTTAACCTGAATACATTTTTTACTTCTAAGATTTCTCGTTAGACAAAAAAAAAAAAAGAAAAAAAATTGATTATAAAATACATTCAAATGTTTCTCACATACTATTGGTGCTGTCATGTATCCTTGGGTCATTGGAAATTGGAGAATTTGCATTTGTGTTCACTTCTATTCAGTCTACTTATGTAGTATTATAATATGTTTTATTATTCAGTATTCATCAAAGTGTATTTTACATATGATACTGTTTCTCAAGTGAAGTGGTAATATTGTGTATGTGAGCCATGCAACATAAAAATGTACTGTCTAGTGCTTATCTTGTTTAAAATTTATAACCTTAAAGCTAAAGCTAATGTACTTACTTACAGCTTATAAGCATTCTTCAGTTTAATCAAAATGCTCTATTAAACTTTGACAGAAAAGAAAAGGTTGACTAAGGGTCAACATTTTGAATGCTAATTTCCTGAATCCCCAGAGCATAAATGACCTAACTTTTGGTGTAATTTCTACCATGATTTCAGATCAGGTAAGAGTGGCTACTCTAGGAAGATTGCATTTGTTTTTATTTATAGGCTGTCTTGGCTCTTTCCGAGCTGGATTATTCACTGATGCACATCAGTCAACTAATGCTTACCATGACCTCAGGAGCTGCATCAATGGTAAGTACTTCTGCCATAGATTAAAAAACAAACCAAAAACAAAACATAAACCTTGCAATTGAAATACACACATGTCAATATAAACTAATCTTAGAATGTAACACATTTGTACATGAAAGCAATGCTAGGAATCTCTCTGTATAGCTCTCCTTATCTCAACTAGCAAACATGCTTTGTCCTTCTTATTATTGTTTATACTCTCTCTTCAACAAAATTAGAGATAAGGGAAGAACAGATTCTGACTGGAAGTGAAGGGAGTTGGGGGGGCGGAGAAATGACCCAAACAATGTATACACATATGAATAAATGAATTTAAAAAATTAATAAATAGCTCTTGAAGGGTTGTGTGCACAGTCAGGTCCAAGGATTAAATGTTACAGTTGATTAACAAATCAAAGTATAGCCATGCTTAATACTTAGAATTTTGGGTTTTTTGATGTGAAAAATATTATGTGAATCAAATTAGCCTTCATGCTTTGAATGTTCATATAGGGCCTAGCGATCAATTCTGGTTGGTCATTTTTTTAATGTACGAATTCTAAAGTGAGAGTCAAAGAGAAAAAATTGAAACTGCAAGATATAAAGTAGGAAGTTGCTTATTGTCTATTTTACATTCAGCATTGGTGCTCTCTGGAAATTCATTTATCTTTATTTTCTCTAAACTGGTTATAATTACTCAGATTGAACAGTGTGCCTGGATATATATATATATACATATACATATATATATATATACATATACATGTATATATATATACATATACATATATATATATATGTATATGTATATATATAGTTTATATTTCATTTTTTAAAAAATTTGCCAAAGGACTATTTACCACATAGCTTTAACAACAATTTCCTGTTGGCTTGTTTTCCACTATTTTAACGAATAGCTCATTTATTATTACTTGTTTAAAAAACTTGATTTCATGAGGATATTTTTTGAAAAGTTCTGGAATTAATTAGGTTTTAGCTAGGTTGGTTATTTATCAAACAAGAGAAATTTCCTCCAGCTGACTTACACTAATGGGAAGTCAGGGAAGGATGGGAAGAACCATGCAGGTACCAGAAAGGCTTGAGGAGCAAGTGTACAAATGTGCAGCAACCAGGGGACCATCACTGTGTCTAGTGAGGAGAGAGACCCTAGTAACTAAAGAAACAGCTTGGAATATCACTTAAAGTGTGTGACAAAGTGCTGTGACATTTGACAAAGACAATAAACAGGACACTGTAATTGAGCTTTACTTTGTACTTTTGAATATTTTACCCTGAAATTATTTCTTATTCTAAAGTAAGCTTTATCTTATGATAATATAGTCACTCAAATTTGCTTTTGATTAATGTTTCCATGATTTATATTCAATCCTTCTAACTTTTTTTGGCATTACTGGGGTGTGAACTCAGAGACTCACTCTTACTAGGCAGGCACTCAACCACTTGAGCCACACCCCAGTCCTTTTGCTTGTAATTTTTTGTTTTTTTCAGATAAAGCCTTGAGCTTTTGCCTGGCTAGTGGCTGGACTGCAGTCCTCTTAGCTCCATCTCCTAAATGGCTGTGATTGCAGACATAAACAGCTACACCTGGCCTTCTGCCATATATTTTAATATTGTACAATATAAATTGAACAATACATGAATTTTTAAATAGATTAACAAATAGAAAATATTGGTTTATACTTTTGCAAATATTTATCATTTCTGAAACCCCACATTCTTGTGTGTAGATCCAAATTTCCATCTGGCAATATTTTCCTTCCATCTAAAGAACTTTCTTTACTATTTCTTATAAGGCATATCTGATAAAGATGGATTTTCTTGGATTTTTAAAATCTCCCCCAAACCCTGTGTTGCATTTATTTTTGTAATTTAGTTTTATTGGATTAAAAACTTCCATGTTGACAGGAGTCTTCTTTCAGTAATTACTGATGTCTTTCCATTGTCTACTCAAATACTGACTTAAAAAAAATCTGCTGTCCTTCCTGGCATTCCCTCCTATGCTGTGCATTGTTCTCTGTCTGCTTTTAAGATTTCTTTTTGCTGAATATGGTGGCTTATGTCTGTAATTCCAGCCACAATGGAGGGGGAGATTGAGAAGGTGGAGGTTCAAAACCAGCCTGGACTAAAAGTTAACAAGATCCTATCCCAAGCCAGGTGTAGTGGTATACACCTGCAATCCCAGTTTTGCTAGAGGGACAGATAGGAGGATCACAGTCTGAGGCTGGCCCTGGGCAAAAGGCACAAGATCCTATATAAATAATAATTGAAGTAAAAAAAGGGCTGGGGATGTACAGCACTTGTCTAGCAAGCCTGAGGCCCTGAGTTCAAACCCCAGTGTAGCCATAAAAAAAAAGATTTTTTTTGCCATTAATTTTCATTCAGATTGAAACAATATTTTTAGGCTTATTCTAGTTAAGTTTTGTTCAGCTTCTTGGATCTGTGAAGTCATAGTTTTTTATCACATTTGGAATATTGTTTATAAAAGTTATTGGCCATTATCATCTAAAATTTTATTTCTTTTCTCTGTCTCTCTTCCTGAGACTTCAGTAACACATATATTTTTTTAGGCTGCATGATGTTGATCGATATCGATATATAATTTACTTTCAGTCTTCTTCATTGACTTTTTCCCATTTTATATATTTTTCATGTCTGTAAGCCCCACTTGGGTCTAACATACCTTCTTTTTTTTGTCATTCATTGCAATTCATTTCATTATGTTTGTTACTGAAACATATGAAAAACATTTATACTAGTTATATTGATTTACTTTCCTGCTTGTTCTATCATCCTTTTCATTTCTGCATATATTTATATCAGTGAATTACTCTTCCAGTTGTAAGTCATGTTTTCCTCCTTCTTTGCATACCTGAGTAGTTTTAATTATACACTACAATTGTTAGTATCACTAGAAAAATAATTGGGGACTTCCAATTTGGGTTAAGATGGAATAGCAAGAACGATACCTATCCTTCTTCCCTAGATAAGTAGAACTCTGGACAAATATAGCAGTTTTCAGACATTGAACAAGAGGTAGCAAAGAACCTAAGATAAAGGGATAAGGAAAAGAAGTAGTTCATGTTGTTGGGTTCTGGATTTTGTTGTCTTCTTCTAAACTACTTGATTTTGGTCTAGTGCTCAGCTGATTTACTTTGAAATAACTTTTAAATAGAATCTTTTTTTGGCTTCCTTATAATTTTGACTAGGGAAGTCCAGAGTAGCCATTAACTTAAGACTTAATTTAGCCCCAGTAATAAGGCTAATACTTTGGGAGGTTTCCAGCTGATGCCTTATGTACCATGAGGTCATTTTAGACTGATTAGTTCCAAATGAATGAGCCCTAGACCTCTGTGAACTCTGGAAATCATCTCGTGTGATCTCTAGGACCCTAGACTATCTTTCTATAGATGTCTGGAGTCAGTCTATTTCTCTATTTCTATTTCTCTCTCTCTCTCTCCCTCCTCTCTCTCTCTCTCTCTTTCTCTCTCTCTCTCTCTTTCTCTCTCAATTATCCCCTATTTATCTTCTCAACCACTGGGCTTTGTTTGATTTCCTTCACTGATGCATGGAAATTGTCTCCCCGCAGTAATATAGTGCAATTATAGGCCTCACTTTGTTTATTTCCATAGGTATCACAGTTTCTTTGCTACTTCTTTCTCAGTGTTTGAAAACATTATTTCATACATTTAACTAGAGTTCTTTTTATTTAAGGCAAGAGGATAAAATCTGGTACATTTTACTTCATCTTAGTCCAAATTGACATTCCCAAGTTCTTTTCTGTATTGATACTAAGAGTAGTTCGTTCTGCCTCATAGAGCTGTTGTAAGGATCAGATAAGGTAATGTATTTAAAAAACTACCTATGCAGCAACAATAAAATATTGTCTATGCTTTCAATGTTAAAGTATAGTCCTAAAATAGTAGTTACAAGAATTTGCTTAATGGATTCACATTTTAATGAGAAAATAATATATGTAGAAAATAATGTTTTTATTGATTATAGGCTTCACTCAAAAGGATTTCTATTAAGAACACATGATTTTATTTTACCATGGCATGAGGCAAAAATTAAATAGATGTCTTTTTCCTTCAGCCATTCCAGACCAGTGTAATCCCCTGCCATGCAATGAAGATGGGTACATGAGCTGCAAAGATGGCCAAGCTGCCTTCACTTGCATTTGTAAACCAGGCTGGAAAGGAGAGAGGTGTGAGTTTGGTATGTGTAATAAACTCCCCTGACTCATCTGGATTGACTGCATGAAAAGTTCTCTGAAGGTGACTTTACTTAAAAACAGTTTATTTTCTACTTTCTAGATATAAATGAATGCAGAGATCCAACAAATTTAAATGGAGGTTGCAGTCAGATTTGTGATAATACACCTGGAAGTTACCACTGTTCCTGTAGAAGTGGTTTCACTATGCTTTCTAATAAAAAGGACTGTAAAGGTAAGAGCAATGAAGTAGAATAAAAATATATTGACTGTGTGAGAACAAAACTCAGAGGAATTTCCACTAGGAAATTCTTGGGAAATGTTCTCATCATAAGTGCTTATAGTAAATATACATTTTTATCTACCTTGAAGGCTTGTAATATGATGGGACTGCATTTCAGTTTACAATATTGATATCAAGGGTATTTTGTTTTCCTATTGTGTGTATGTGTGTGTCTGTGTGTGTACATTTCAAAAAAGTATTTCATTATAAATCAAAATAAAGAAAGAATTTCATTAAGACCTGAGGTTTTAGAGCAGATCTTTCTATGCTATAAACTTGGCAAAGACATTGTTAATCCTCTTTTTTCAGATGTCACTTAAAATTTTTGTTCCCATAAGATGAATAGCTAAACAAAGAAATATACTTTGATCCCTAATAATCTCATCCATTGTATTTTATCTTTTTGAGAAATATCTTTTTGATTTCTAATATAAATCCTTCATTTTGCACCTCATTTCCTATTGTGGTTTTTGGAAAGATAAAGAAGTTCTGGCTTTCTTTTTCTTCATATGTTTAAAATCCCAGCATTGGTCATAAATCTTTTTTTCTTTAGTCTTAAATAATCCCTGTCAGTTTACCTTATTAATATATCATTTCTAGCATAGTTCTTTTTGTTTTTCTTTATGAATCCTTGTCTTCCAAATTTAAACTTTATGTCTCTGTATATTTTCTCTGTGTTTGGCTGCTTTGGTTGCTGTAACAAGTCTTTAAATATTGGTGTGAAGTGTATCGATAGCTAAAAGCAAGGTTTCCCCGCCTGTACTGAAATTTTGCCTTCAGGAACTGGAAACACTCAATACAATTTTTCCTCCTTACCATCTCATCCCTCTTTGTTTTGCTAAGAGGTAAAAAAGAAGTTAATAATTTAAAATATAAAGTTTTCTTCTTAAACTTTATGTCTGTCTTGGCAAATCTCTGATTTGGATTCATGTTAAAGGGGTGATCTATCCCCACCACATGGTAGTGGCTACCACCGTTATCCTGCACTATAATATTACTTAAAGTGCAGCTAAATTATCCTAAAACGAACTTCTAAGCCACTATCCAATTTGTAACCATATGTCTTACTCATCTGCCTATTTGAAGATCTTCATATGGCTATTTAGAATAATGGTATCGTTATAGGAAACCAGTATACTTCTGTGTGCCATAAACAGCACCCATTCCTATTTCTACATTTAAACAATTGAATACCCTGTCCTTCTAAAGAATTTATGATTTTTTCATATTAAAATGTTTAATCTTATCCATTGAGTTGTACACTCATACACACATATAATTACAAAAATTCCTCTTAAAGAAATTTTCTGATGAGAACATATTTATTATATTCATTTATATATCCTTTATACATGATACTTAAGTAATAGTTATAAAATTTTTAGGAAAATATGTATAAAACTATTACAATGGGACCTTTGCTAAGAAGTGGCTGTATTTGAGATCAAGTAGTCAGTAGTTGTCTAAATATGAAGGAATAAAATTTTCACTCAGGCACCAGGTGTCAGTGTAGAGTCATAAAATCAATGTACAATAACCTAAATTTATATATTTCCCTGAAAACAGGCCTCAAAGAAAATAATTTTATTTATATGATTTCACTTTCTTTTAAGAATAAGGACTTTTTTTAAGATTAAAAATTCAGTTTGAATTAACTAAAGATTCACATTAAGTTTTAAGGAATAACAGAGAGACTTGACAATTTATGTGGTTAGCATTTTCCAAGAATATAGTACAATATCATACTCAGAATATTGGCATTGATATAATAAAGAAACAGAAAAATTTCCCAGCACAAAGGATTGATTTCATTATTCTCATGCAAGTTATTTTAAATAGAGTAATGTCTGAAATTGTGGCTGTTCATCTCTGTAAAAAAACCTTGCCAATTCTTTACAATAGAAAATATACTTTCCATTCTGAATTCATCTTTCTCCAGTGGGTACAGATGAAAAAATTTCACTTGTTACATCTCCATTGAACTATTTCTATGTTTTCGTTGCTAAATACTTATTTAACAACTAGTTGCAATCAATGTTTTACATTCTACCCCATGTGTAACAGAGTAAATGCATCTTGAACCTTTGGAATATTAATTTAGCAGTAAGCTTCTATTGGATTAACTGCAACTTTATAAACACTTTGAGACCTTTACTCAATTCCATTTTAAATGTGAGTCACTGTTGAATACTTTAGGTAACAATAAGAGTGAACAGAGTAGATATTTGTCTGTCTCCAGAGAAGCAAGGTGAAAGAGATGAGTCTTCTCATTTTTTAAATGTTTGTGGTAATAAGACACAAATCTACTTTTGAGATAATTTTCAGAAACATGTATTTTGAAGTGCACATGAAGACTACTAAGAGTATGGCTGATTCTCTTTTTTCATACTTTAACCTGGTAGATGAGACTATGACTGAAGCCCTGTCTTCTTTTACATAGCTATAAAGCAACATGATGAACATCAGTCAAGTTCCCTAAGCATTTATATAAAGAAATCATATTTAGTGAGCTAAAACATGATGATAGATTTAATACTTTATTGTTCCAAGGCAACTCTATTCATATATATGTGTATATAGTACTTATACAAAATACATATTAAATTAGATCCAGGAAACACAAATCAAGGATTCTTTGACAGTGTCTTCTGATAATGGAAAAAATATTTTTTAATGTATTGGTTTCATTTTCAGATATGGATGAATGCTCTGTGAAGCCAAGTGTTTGTGGCACAGCTGTGTGCAAGAACATCCCGGGAGACTTTGAGTGTGAATGTCCTGAGGGCTACAGATATAATCCTAATTCAAAGTCTTGTAAAGGTAGAATGGTGTTGATATCATTCCTGTTGGTGGAGAGGGTGGGTTTGAACCCTGAGTTGATATTTCAAAGAATTAGTTTAATTTGAGACCAACGATCAGATTTTCTAGTCCATGATATACCATGGTCAATTTAGTGGTTCCTGGCTTCTGTCCAAGATAAGTAATAAGTAAGACACGTGGTCTTTAGATATAATGTTATGCATTCCAATTTGCCTTTTAAGGTGCATACAAATTAGAGACTTCCCTATGTTATAAAAGCAAGGTGAACTTATGTTCATAGCACTTAAATAACATTAAAAGGTAAAGCAAATTTGTATTTGAAAGGAAAAACACATACATACAAAAGAAAGACACAAGTTTAAATCATGGGAGTGAAAAAAGTTCTATTAAAATCCTTAGGTTTTGATTCCAAGATTTTCAGTGATTTTTCTGTGCACATAAAAGTCATGCTAAAATGGGAAATGATTTAATTTGTTATCATAACCTATCTGATAACCCAGCTCTAGAAAGTTGAGAAATGCTGGTTAGTAATGTCAGCATTGTGGGTTTAGCTGGCTCCTTGAAAGTGGTGTTCTTCTCTCAGGTTGTAATGGTGCTGCTATGTGGGTCTCATGTAGCCTAAACATGTCAGTTGCTTTGTTTTTTTAATCATGCTATGCAAATTATTGTACACTATTTATTTTATTCATTTCAGCAAGTCTTATTATGTAATCTAAATTGGCCTCTAAACTCTCCATCTTCCTGCCTCAGCCCAAGTGTTAGGATTTCAGTTGTGTGCTACCATACCCAGTCTCACACTCTCTTTGAAGTGTTTTAAAAATTCAAAGTGAATTTAATACCAGGCTAAAATGAATCAAATCAATCATATTATAACATATAATGTACTCTTGCAACCAATTTTAAGCATAGCGTTCAGTAGCATTAATTATATTCACACTGTCCCAACTGCCTGTTTCCATACATTTCCAAAATGTTTTCATCACCACAAAAACAAACACTAATCATTAAGTGGTAAGCTCCTTCTTATTACTTACCTTCTTAGAGGTGATGCCCTGTCTCTATAAATTTTCCTAAGTTGATTATGATTTTAGAGTAGGCTTTTTTCCCAACTATACCAGCTCCTGTTGAAATTTTGATGTCTTACCTTCTCATGTATGCACCAAAAATATACCCTCATATGAATACCATTTATATTCTCCTACCACGTCCTGTTGTAATTACTGTAGTACATTCTAGGAATTTGCAAATTTATTATTGGTTAACTTCATCACCTATATTGTAGTTTATTCAGTGAGTGACAGATTTTAAAGAAAGATTTATATATGACTATATATTTAAGTTTAGTCATGCATCATACAATTTTAAGGAATTTGGAAGATCACTAACTTTGGGGATCTATTTTAAAGTATTTTCTGAGAACTTATGTGAGATAATAGCATTTATAAATGGGGGATTTTTAAAGATCACAAGGTACATCCAATGAAACTGTCAAGAATTTTATGTGGCCTCAAAATGGACTTTGACTTAAGCATATTATGACAAATTTTGAAGAATGATTTTTCTCAAAATATAAAGTGGAGATAGAGACCAGATAGAAGATTTCACAGTATAAAGGGTAAAATCACAATACTTAAAAAAAAAAAATCCAGGCACTGGTGTCTCACACCTGTAATCCTAGCTATTTGGGAGGCTGAGATGGGGAGGGTCGTAATTCCAGGCCAGCCTGGGCAAAAAAGTCAGTGATACCAATATCAATGAAAAAAAGCTGGGTGTTATAATAGCCTGTGATTATCACCCCAGTGATGGTGGGAAGCCTAAAATAGCAGAATAGAGGTCCAGGCTAGTCTGGACAAAAAGCAAGACTGTATCTCAAAAATAACCAGAACAAAAAGGATTAGGGGTGTAGCTCAAGTGGTAGAGCACCTGCCTAGTAATTCCAAAGCCCTGAATTCAAACCTACTACCACCACCAAAAAAAAAAAAAAAAAGATAAGAACTCATATAGACATGTCTTTAAATTCATTGTCACCATTAATTATTGCATTATAGAAATCAGATGTTTTCAATATTGTCATTGAATCAATTACATTAACTTTCAGTTTAATAAAAGACATTTATTTCTTCCCTTCTCCATCTTTCATTTCCTTCCACTCAACTCCCATTCCTCTTCTCATTTCTTCTCTTTTACTTTCATTCGTTAGCTTTAAAACAAATAATTGGGAGATAATCTCAATGAAATTCATATAATCATAAATTATGTTTGAGACCCTAAATAATTTTTTTCTTCAAACTGAAAAAAATTCATAAAGTTAGTATAATTGTTACACTATTATTAATCACTGAAAATTCTAAAATTGTTATTTCAAAAGTGTAAATAAATAAATATTACATTTGTAACTTCTTTAAATTTCCAGGTTAAGTGTTTAAATATTATGCTATAGGCATTTCCCTTAAGAATCTATTGCGAATCTGTTATTTTATACTAAAATCAGCATACTGCTGTGCTTATTGGATTGAACAGTCGGGAGATATTAAGATTTCTGTTCTTTTTACCTCAGATGTGGATGAGTGCTCAGAGCACATGTGTGCTCAACTTTGTGTCAATTACCCTGGAGGCTACTCTTGTTATTGTGATGGCAAAAAAGGATTCAAACTTGCGCAAGACCAGAGAAGTTGTGAGGTAAACATTTATAATGCAGAACTTTTTACCTCTTTTTTAAAATGAGAGATCCAGGTACTTATTTCAACATTGATCAGGTAAGCCAGGAAAATACAGATGTTCTACAACAGTTTCTGTAGTTCTAAGCAGGTTATCAGTCATAATTTATTTACTTGTTTGGTCACTATTCCCTATGTAAACATTGGGGATGATTAGTGTCTGGGTTACTAAAGATTTTTTTTTAAAGGCTAAAAGATCACAATTTAGTCTGTACATTTACAAAATACTAAGTGTATGTTTACTTAAGAAGCCAAGAAAACAATAATCTTCTTTGTGAAAAAAAATGTGTTCCATAGAAACTTTAGCGAAAGCCTTTTTTAGTATTGACTTTCTTGTATTCTATTCTGACAAATTTCATCATGCCTACGGCATGTTTTGCACTTGTAAACATGTTCATAAACTTTCACGTGGAGACAACTTTTTCGAATAGAATTTAGTGGATTTGCGTCTGTCAAGTTCTGGGACCAATGATGTTAACCTGCATCTCTCAAACGTGTTTCTCGTCACTCAATGTAATGCATAATTCACCCAGGAACTGAAAATTACTGATAGGTTTTAGTTTTTCCTTCACCAAAATAAACAGGTCAACATCTGAAACCTCTTTTTTCTAAATAAGGATCACATGTTGGTAATACTTCCAATTCTTTCATATTTTTTTAAACACATGAAGGTGAAATTGTATATGATTATGAAGTAGATTATTAAAAAACTCCTAAACAATGATTTAATTATGTGTACACACACACACACACATATTATGAGGACAAAGCTATATATGTTCAGAAAAATATAATTTACAATATCATGTAACCTACTTAGGAAAATTAAGCTAAGTCGGTTGGCATAGGTAGTAATTTTGGTGCTACTGAATTGAGATGCAATCCTGTGTGAATGTCATATTTTGTAACTTAGTTCCTTATTATTTCAATATTTGCTGTATTTACATAGCACTATTGGTTTTGGAATAGATTTATTAAAGTTCCAAGAGGAAATAAAAATGCTACTTCTGGGGCTATTTTTAATATAGTGCTAGTCCATGGTTCACCTCAAAATGGAAAACAGGCCCTGTCTGGGGGTTGGCACCAGTGGGAAGGGGGAAGATATAAGGAAGGTGAAGGAGGCTGAATGTAATGGAAATATTATGTTCTCACGTATGAAAATGGAAAAATGAGATCTGTTGAAACTATTCCAGGAATGGGGGAAGAGGGGATAAAGGAGAATGGTGGATGCAGTGAATTCAACTATGATACAGTGTAAGAATTTTTGTAAATATTACAATGTACCCCCAGTACACTAATGATATAATAAAAAAAGAAATATATGTCCTTATATGTTCCAAGAACTTATCCCTAAATAACTTTCCATTTTAATGTTTGTTTTCAATTTTAGAAAACAAAGACTTCATAAGAGATATGATGACTTTTAATTCCTTTCGTGTAAATTCCTTGGCGACCAGGTGACTTTTTTTTTTTGTGGTACTGATGTTTGAACTCAGGGCCTACACCTTGAGCCACTCTGCCAGTCCTTTTTTGTGTTGAGTTTTTTTCGAGATAGGGTCTTATGAACTCTTTGCCCAGGCTGGCTTCGAACCATGATCGTCCTGATCTCTGCCTCCTGAGTAGCTAGGATTACAGAGGTGAGCCACCAGCATCGGCTCTTTCTTAATTTATTTTTTCTTCAGATAAGGTCTCATTATGTAGGCCAGGCTGGCTTTCAGTTCGTGATCCTCCTGCCTCTGACTCCCAAGTGCTGAGATTATAGACATAAGCCACCATACCTGGTAGATGATATCTTAATTTAGGTTATTCCCTCAGAGCTTTAAATATTCCCTTTACTAACTAGATAGCACAGTCTTACTCAGAAAATATTTACTTAATGAATGAGGTATTGTTGATTGGAACATTAATTTTTCTTCCTATTTCCAACCCCAAATAAAAATGATTTTTACATATAACTTGTGGAAGACATCATATCTGACAGCTTATAAAAGAGATACATGTTGGCACTTGAAGTAGAAATTTGTGTTTATCACCGAGATTTGAGAAGGAAATATTAAAGACAAATGTCTAAAGAGACACTTGTTGAATAAGACTTTGAGACACGTGTTCTCGGATGTTATACAAACGATTATACAAGGAAATGGAAAACACACTGCTTTACTATTTCAAAAGGTATTTTTAACTTGATTTAGTGCATCACAGATGGTACATGAGAAACCAGAGAAAGAAAGTGCAACCTGACATAAACCAGGAAGTAACATAGATGTTTTGTTTGTTTGTTTTTTCCAGGTTGTTCCAGTATGCCTTTCCCTGAACCTTGACAAAAATTATGAATTACTTTACATGGCAGAGCAATTTGCAGGGGTTGTTTTATACTTAAAATTTCGTTTGCCAGATGTCACCAGGTGAGAAAGCAATGTCAATGGTAGTTTCTAGAGGTTAAGCAGGTAAGGACAGAAGAAAAGTACCCGAAAAGGTTTGAAAATATGAAACTGTATTATCAAACAGATAATTTAGGCATATTATCAACCAGATGATTTGGGGAACCCTACAGTTAATTTGCTCCTTCATACATTTTTCCATATGAGAGCCTTTTTGGTTGTTCTAGGCTGACTTTCCCAATGAATCTTTTACTTTACCCATCATTCTTCATTTTCTAAGGAATATATATTTATGAAGAAGCAGGGAAAGTAGATTTAATGTACTTGTGAAAATTCATTGTTCTTTATACATGTTGTGAAAACTAATTAATGAGAAAATGCTCAAGGTACTGCTTTAGAATATCATTATATTCAAATTATTAAGGAAAATTAGTAAGATTTGCTCAAGTGTTATTTTAAAGAATCGGTTACTTTATTTGCCTATTTAAATATTTTATCTGCTATTCTGGTAGTTGGATTGACTTTAGGTAGAAAGTTGCTGTTTGTGTTTTTGAGTCATGATTCTACTTTGTTAAATTTTCTCAGAGCCATACAGTGTTGAAACTAGAGGAAATAAATCGGAATTTTGTTAGAATAATGGGAAGGAAATGTATTTGATTGATTATAGAGTCTAAAATTTAAAATGTCTTAAATAAATATGATGTTTAGAATTAATTCATTAGATTTATGAACTATAATTTACTACAATCCAATCAATTTCATAGAAACTTTATATGAACATTACTTTAAGATTCACTTGAGTAATTGTGGTCTTTCAGCAATCCATTTCCCCCAGGGTCTGGTTTTACCCATGAACATCTCAGAGCAAATAATATCTTCTAGTGGGGCAAACTAGCTGTAACCCTTCCATGTTGTAAAAATAATAAGAATGAATGAGAAAAATGTTAACTATAGAATATCTTCAGACACTTTTAGGAGGATACATTTCTCTTTGGCAATTCACAATATTTTGATATTTAACACTGGATCAGAATTAGCCAAATAATTACTGGGTTCTTTATTATTTATTTAGTTTATACTTTTAGAAGTATAGCATATGCATAGAAATTCATACATATATTAAATACAGAGCTTGATGAAGTTTTATAAAATGCCACCTGTGTAATCAACACAAAGAACAGCTAAGTGCTTTTTATTTTAAGGCAAAATTTTAAATTTAAAGCAAATTCCTTCACTTCTGTTTCTGATAATCAAATACTTTCCTACCCAAATGTCAACAAATTCACTATTTTTCAACTCTACAATACTTCTGAAACAGAATGAATCGTTCCCCAGTGTAATGTATCAGTATGCTGATGATATACTCAGAAAGAAAATATGCAGCACATGACTCTTTGAAATACCATTTTAGCATGATTTTACAAAGAAAAGAAAATTATCTCCATAATAGGATCAACTTCTGGGATATCCTGACCATACACAGATTTGGGTTTTGGCAAGATAATCCATGCTTCACATCAGCGAAATGCTCAGATAATTATGAAAGAGGATAGAAGTCCTTATTCCAAGCAAATGGTTCTTTTTAAACATAAACTGAGGTCAGTTCATTCCTACTTCATTGTTGTCCAGCTAGCATAGCTTACTCCACATTTTATCTCTTTCAAATATTTTCTTGGAATTCTAAAGATGGAAAAGTTTATTCTGTCACATTTTCTTTGTTCCCTATGAGGAAGATCTGTGCCCCACTGCAAATAGTCCTCCTGTTACCATTGGTATTATATGTCAGGGCAAAGATGGAAGATTCTTTCATTTTATAAGTTATAAAAGTCCTGACTCTTTAACTTAAATTACCTTTATTTAATGGACATACCTAACAGTTTTAAAACTGCTTTTCCTTCTCCCTGTCTTTTTAAAAGTCATTTTTATTAGCTGGTCCCGTGGAGATTTTATGCTGATTCTCATTAAAGTGTTCTAAAGACACCGAATCAATATATGTTATTTTAAGTCCAGCGTTCCTAAGATTATCCTTCCTTCTGATAGCTGTACTGTATGTATGTATCTGTATTGCCAGATGTAGATACCCACAAACACACAGCTACACTGCATTTGTTCAGCTTTCATTTCATGCCTTCTTCCGCAGTGACTTTTGCAGTTACAGTTTTTAAAGTGCTTTTGAAATCAGGCTAAAAGGTATATTTAAAAATATTTTCTTTTTTTTTTGTAAAAGATTTATTATTCACTGAGGGGTCAGGGGGCACAAACCTTCTTGGCAGCCACATTCCTCATAGCAGCCAAGACACTGCTCAGCTCCTTTTCCTTTCCTTTGGCATGAATATGGGTTCCCACCCTTTTCCTGATAAATGAGATAGTCCTTTTGTCTTTGGAGTCCTTGTGTAGTGATATGGTGTGCCCTGTGTACTGAGTAAAGCTACACCACTCCTGAATCATGGTCCCCACAAAACCTGGTGTGCTTGGTGAGGTGCCATGGCAGCTGCTGTGCCTCTGCTTGATCTCATTCTTGGTTACCTTGTGGGCCCTGTTGAGACCCACACCACCAGGCAGGGCAGAGCCATGGCTTCTGCTCAATGGTTGCTGCCCACAGATTTTTATTTTACCATCTTTGCTATACATGAGAGCTTAATTATATTTTTAATCATCCAGATGATATCCTGTAGAGCTCTGTGAGTGATCCATTCCTGACATATGTGAAATCATAATATGCCTTTGGATGGATAAACCAATCATGAAATTGTAACATCTTTTAGTAATCATTTATGGATACAGAAAACATACACAAACATACACACAGATTAGGGTCAGATTTTATAGAATATAAAAGGTTCCAGGAGAGAAACAGTATGCCTTGTATTTATACATGTGTATTCCAGCATTGAAAGATACCTTCAAACATATGCCAAAAAAAGATGAAAAATTACCAAAGCATCTGATTTCACCAAGGGAAAACTCTCAGAATAAGCAAGAAAATATTGTAACCATATTTTAAACACTAGAGATAGTACATGAGCAGTCTAATTCAGCCCTTCTCTTTTACTAATTCCAGGAAATGAATAGTTGACTTTTTAGCATATTACTATTTGGCAGTACAAGAAAATAAAAGATAAAACATTAAGCCTTCCTCATTCCTCACTATTAAAGATCTATCTTTGTCCATTGTTTAGATTTTCAGCAGAATTTGACTTCCGGACATATGATTCAGCAGGCATCATACTATATGCAGAATCTCTTGATCACTCAACCTGGCTCTTGATTGCACTTCGTGATGGAAAGATTGAAGTTCAATTTAAGAACGAGTATGCAACCCAAATCACAACTGGAGGCAATGTTATTAATAATGGCCAATGGAATGTGGTATGTTTTACAGATTTCATAAACATCTCCCACTTGGATGTAGTTTGCATAAAATCATAATTCACTTTTAAAGTGATAGCAAACGAAAATGGGTTTGCTTGTCTAATGCTGTATGAAATATACTGTATACACTGTAAATCTATGAAACAGCCTAAAATGATACTCTCACTTAGTATATTTAGGATTTCCCTTAATTAAAGTTTTTCTCAACTGTTTGTTTGAACTGCTCTATATTTCATCTTTTTTACCCTGCTTAGTGACCATCTTTGAGTGAACAATGGTGTGTCTCTTGGAAGTCAGAGATCATTAACAGGCATTGAAGTTTATGCAGACATCACTGATCAAGGAAAACTACCCTCAATTGTCATTAATATCTTTTAAAGAAAAATGCATATAGTGACAAAATTAAAAAGTTAATGCAATTTTAAATATAAGCATATAGATAAGTTATCTGTTTTTAGAGATAGTTTACACTAGTGGGAACCAAGTATGATGCTTAAGTTATTATCTTAATATAATCTTATAAATTACCTTTATTTTAACAGCTGAGATAATCTCTTTAATCAGCTGGATTAAAATGTAACTTTTCCTGGAGAAAAGATTACTGTTTGTCAATAGTGAGAGGAAGATGTTTTTGCAGTGATCATAGTTACTTTCAGCACAGTATAGCTGAGATAAGAGCCAGTTTACCTTAGAATGTGGTACCCAAAAGACTCTTTCTTTGCCTAGGACATCTGGGAAGAGGTCTGTGTTGAGAACCTATGTGAGGTCATACTCAATTATTTCATTCCTTTTTTTACCCGCTCAAGCACTCATTTATCCAAAAAGCTTCTCCTGGATACTTTTTAAATACTCAGTACCCAATATCAAGGTGCTAGAATTCTAAAAAGATTTTCCTTGCTCTTGAATTTAATACCTTGCAGTTTGGTAGCTGAAGCTGCTTTATGAACAAAAAACATTACAGTAGAGGTAACAACTGGCAAAGTTCTCTATTGGTCACAGATGTGGCTCATCTTTGGGAGCTATATATCTTTACCAGTTGTACATTTTAAAGCTCTAACCTCAAAGAACTTTGCACAGAACAAGATGCAACTGTCTGAGAAAATTGTCCTCACAGGACCAGAGAAATCATAAGATTCTCTGACTTCTCCTGATGCTCTCATTAGTGTAGCTTTGCATCTTTTCTGCTACATCTATATTTAGAATATTTGATGTGTGCAGCTATTCTTTGAATCTGCTATAAGAATACATTTTGCTACCTAATGCTCCCAAATCACTACCAATAAAATGTTTTTTTTAGTGAGAATGCAAAATTAAAGTTTTACTCCAAGAACAAATTAAAAGATCAGCTATTTTAAGTATAATCTAGATAAATTCTTATATGACATATATGTATAAAGAAGAAGGTATATTTTTTACCTGTAGGTAGTGTTTACTAAATAATTGTCCCTGAATGATGCTCTTAATGGCAAGAGTCTAAACTGGCTAGGCTGCAGCTATTCACTTCCAGGTTTTATCTCCATTGCTTATGATCCTTGTTAAACTATTATTTCATGGCATGCTCATGTTTTAATTGAAATAATCCTCTATAATTTTATGTAAAAAATAAAAGTAAAGACAATTTCACATGCTACAAGCAAGTCAGATAACAACTTAATCTGATAATAAATATGCTGCTGGCTATTTTTAAATTCTTAATTAAATATTTTAATAGTTTATGAATTTTCATCCAATGATATAAATAGGATTTATTTTCCCACTTTATCTGTTAATATGAAAATAATGTTGCTATATTCTTATTGGGTTATAATCTTGATGGCTCATTAATAAATTGCACTGATTCAAAATACTTTGCACATGAATTGTTTTAAATATATAAATGTAAATAAGCATTTTAACTGACAAAAATGTTAATTTAAATTGATCTATAAACTGGAAAATTTAGTTTATAGTGTTTGTTTCAATAATTTTAAATAATTTCAAAAAGTATTTTAAAATAAATTAAAATTAAAATATATAACCTAAAATAGTTCTGTAATTCATAAAAGTGACATAAGCTGTATAATTATTAAGTAATTAGTATGGCTCTGTCTCAGGGAAGTAAATATTGCTCCTTATAAATGATTTTATTTCATATTTTGGTATGATCCTGATTTTGAAGGGAAATCCATAATTGTATCACAATTCATTCAGCAACATGTTTATTGAGCACGTTAAGTACTAATCTTTTGCTAGGTGGTAAGGATACGATGGTAGATAAAGTCATTGCTCATATGAAGCTTGTGTTCTAGTGATGAGAAGTAAAAACAAACAAATATGTTAGTTACTAATGAGGTGAGGAAAAAGAAAGCCAAGGCAAAGGTCTTGAGTGCATATGGAATCAGAAAAGGCATCTCTGATGAGATTAGATATGAGCAGAGGCCTGAGGGCATAAGTCATGAAAAATAAGTGAGGGATTATAAAATGAGTCTGTGTAATGTGAAGAGCAAGTACAATGTCTCATGGGGAAAGATGGGTTTGGTGTGTTTGAAGAACAAAACAAAGATGTAGAAGCAGTGGAATGAGAGAGAGGAGAGTAGTTAGAAAATGAAGTAAAAAGTGTGGTTTGAAATTTGATTACCTAGGGCCTTTGGGGACTGGGGTGAGCACTTGGATTTTATGCTAAATGGAAAGGCCTTAGGTAGTTTTGAGAAGTTACATAATCTGATTTACATAAAAGATAATTCAGATCAGAACCTGGTGCCTTTGTGGAAACTAGTCAGTGGAGAATAATAGTGGAACAGGGTATTGGGCTGGGGGAGCACTGCAGAAACCCAGTGGAGAGAAAACTGCAGCTTTGGCTGGAATGCTGATGGTGAGGTGGCAAGAAGTGGTCAGAGCTGGATGAATTTGAGAGGCTAAGCATTTGATTCAAAATTTTGAGTACACATCATAAAGAGGCATTTTGAGGCCATAAATTTGTGTTAATCAATGTTTCTAAACTTCATCTATCTTCACATGTACCCAATAGAAAGCAGTATAACACTCTATTCTAAAGCAAATACAGAGAATGTAGCTTATAGGAAAATGACTTATATTTCAATATTTAAATACTCAAGTACAACTTTAATACTTGTCAAAGCTTGCTTCTAATGCATAGAATAATGTGAAAGCTACAAATGAAGACTTATACTAGAGTGTTGTATTAGCAGCTCAAATATTATAAATGCATAAATGGTGTTGTTATCAGTAATAGTAATCTTTCAAAAATGGCGAAAAACCGGTCTGTAGAGGAAGGAGGAGGTCGGTTCTGAGACGCCAATGTGTTCAGCAGCTGGCTAGTCGTGCTTGCCGCTGCTGCTCCATCCATGCCTCCATCTACCTCTTTCTGGAAAAGGAGGAGGCTTCGATGTCGAAAAGGAGCCCCTGCCACAGTCTTAGCTGCAAGTTGCTAGGACTTCTCTCAAACGTGCATACTGACTCTCAGATGTTGGCCTTAGCTTCTAGGCTGAATCCAGCAGATTGGCCTATGAAAGCTTCTGAATTGAGACAAAGGAAGGAATCTGTCAGAAAGCAATCCCTGTTATCCTGGGCTTGGTAGCCAGGGAGAGGATTGGAAGTGGAAATCATGAAATCTGAAAGGTGGCAAAGAAGCTGAAGATGGGTGGTGGAGAAAGGTATAACATGACAGCTCCTTGATCTAAAAGTGTTAGATCAAGAACCAACAACAACTTACTAGACAGAAGACCAAGGATCAGAATTCCTAGGTGAAGACTGTTAAGAAAAAAAAGAAAAAAGAGGATATGGTTTTATCTCATCATCAGCTGCATGGCAAATAGGGGAGAAAATCAAAAATTTTCCAAGTAGTCTGAATTAGAACTCTAACTTATCAAGTCCCAGCTTGCTTTTTAAGTGTCCAGCCAATCAGAATTATGCTAGAGCCAAATTTAGAGAGCCACTATCACCAAATGTTCTTCCCAAACCACCAAGCCACTGGGTTCCCAATTCCTTTAATCCTTTAGATTAGGAAATAATGACATTTCAACTTAAAACCTTACTTAAAGTACAGGTATAAGCCAAGTAACTAATGCTTAAATTTAGTTGTGTTTACAAATGGTGATGCATTAGTCTGAAATATTCAGTATGGAATTAATCTGTGTAAAACTGGTAATGTAAAAATACAATCAGATTGTATCATTTGTTTTATATGCTATGTGCACTGTGATGTAATAGTATCAGTGCAACTAAACTAATGATTGTTCTTGATAGTTTACTCAATTGAATAACTTTGAAGTGAGACAACTGAAGTTTAGATTTGGGGGATGGAAAAGGAATCAACTTTTTCTATTGTCTATTGGGGGAATAATTTAAGACTCATGAGGTCGGTCAGTAGATTTACTTTTAGTGAATCAGGTTATAATCATCTAGCTAAGACATACAAGAATTGACAAGTAGGAGGTGGACATTTTAAAGTTCAGTGTTGTAAGAGCACCCAAACCAATAACATGCCAACAACTTAATGCACTGCCAGAAGAAAATGTGAATTTTTCTTAATAATCACATTTTACTAAGTTGTACGGTTGTGAATGTGTGATGGGCACTGGGGGCTTATTAGAATGAGGCACAAAATACCCCAGTGGTCCCGTTTTCTTAAATGCAGTGGAGAGGCATCTGTCAATAGATGCACCAAAGCTTTTTTCTTCAGAGAAATAGTATTGAGGATCGCTCAATGGCTTTCAGAGAACATTCTTGTATTATAGCACTGTAGAAGCTATTCTGACAGTGATCTGGCCTCATTCATCCCTGCACAGCTTGTTTAAGTAGGGAGCTGTATAATGTGAAGGTTTTAAGTTCCTAAGAAAGAAAGAGCCATGTAAATACATGCAGTAAACTTGTAGCATATGTAAAGTTTTTTTTTGGCCTTTATCTTACAAAAATAGACTATTTTTAGTAAATGAATTTGCAGAATGTGAGATCATGAACTTTTTATACTATGGCCTAGTTTTAAAGGTCCCTAATTGTATTTAAAGTTTGCCCTTGTGCAAAAGTGCCAGTGTATGTATGTTACAAATGATTTGGTTGTAAACTCTTTCAAAGTAAATACTAGTGTAATATGCTTCTATTAAAACTAAAAAGGTTAAGCTGCTAAAACATTTCCTATTTTAAAGAGCTATAAATGCAGTGCAGGATCATTCGCACAACCCGTATCATTTTGACTTTCACCAGTCCTTATGACTATGTTTGGTGCCAGGCCAGTGACTTTTTTTTTTTTTTGCTCAGGACTAAGTGCAACCCAGGGGGATCATTTATGCATCAGATGTAATTTCTTGCATGACACTCCAAAGCATGTTTTACCAATTTGGGGTAAACATTGAACAGTTAATCCAGCAGCAAGTCAGAAAAATGTGTATCAGTTTAAAATTTCTGATAGCTAATATCCTGTTTGGCATCTTTTTTTTATGTTTATAAACAAGACAGCTAAGTTGTATTTCTCCAAATAAATTCAGATGAAATAATATTATCCAAGTCAAATAATGAATATCCTAAAGGACAAATAATGTACATAATTTGAATTTGAAACATGAAAATTAAAAAATAAGAATCCCACCCCAAAAAATGGTGAAAAACCCTGGACAGAGTTCTAAACAAAACAGACATCACTCTGTCCTTGGTTTACCATTGTATCCTTAGCTTATCCACTGCATTCTTGAAAAACTTAATGAATGCTAATATAGTGCAACAAATATATTGTGTTTATTTATACACAAGCTCAGATAAGCATAAAGATTTTGTACATGATTGTCTAAAAAGAAGATTCAGGTTTGCAGAATATGGGATGTTTATTACTTATTTTGCATGATTGTTGTTCATATTTCAGAGTGTCGAGCATCTTCAATGCTAGCATGGCTCCTACTTGTTGTGACAACTAAAAATGTTCCCCACTCCAACTCTTCCAAATGCTTTAGCGAGGTCCACTGTAGTCTGTCATTTAAAATACTTGCATAGTTAGAGGGAAAAGGTCTGGGAACTAATCTCTGGGGCATCTTGGCTGTTTCCATAACTTGGCTATTCTGAATAGTGCTGCAATAAATGATGGGTGTGCAGGTGCCTTTGGAATAATGAGTCACATTTCCTTGGGTATATCTCTAGGAGTGGGATTGCTGGATCATATGGCAGATCTAAGTTTAGTTTTTTAAGAAGCCTCCATATTGTTTTCCAAAGTGGTTGTACTAGTTTACATTCCCACCAGCAGTATATGAGGATTCCTTTTTCCCTTGCATCCTAGCCAACATTTGTTGTTGGTGGTGTTTTTGATTGTGGTTTTGATTTGCTTTTCCCTTATGGCCAGGGATGGTGAGCATTTTTTCATGTGTTTTTTTGGCCATTTGAATTTCATACTTTGAAAAAGTTCAGTTCATTTGCCCATTTCTTTATTGGTTCATTGATTTTTGGGGAGTTTAGATTTTTGAGCTCCCTGTATATTCTGGTCATCAGTCCTTTGTCTTATGTATAGCCAGCAAATATATTCTCCCATTCTGTGGGTGGTCTCTTCAGTTTAGAGATCATTTCTTTTGTTGTACAGAAGCTTTTTAATTTTATGAAGTCCCATTTGTCCATCCTTTCTCTTAGTTGCTGAGCTGCTGGGGTTCTACTGAGGAATTCTTTGCCTATACCTATTGCTTCCAGAATATTCCCTGCTCTCTCCTTTACTAAGTTCAGAGTTTCGGGTCTGATATTATAAGAACTTTAATCCACTTTGAGTAGATACTAGTACAGGGTGATAGGCATGGATCTAGTTGCAGTTTTCTGCAAGCAGATAACCACTTTTCCCAGCAACATTTGTTGAAGAGGCTGTCTATTCTCCATTGTATATTTTTGGCGTCTTTGTCAAAAATAAGGTGGGGATAGCTGTGTGGATTCATATCTGGGTCCTCTATTCTGTCCCACTGGTCTTCATGTCTGTTTTTGTGCCAGTACCATGCTGTTTTTATTGCTATAGCTTTGTAATATAGTTTGAAGTCGGGTATTGTGATACCTCCAGCATTGCTCTTTTTGATGAGTATTGCCTTGGCTATTCATGGTCTCTTGTGTTTCCAAATGAACTTTAGGGTAGATTTTTCAATCTCTGTGATGACTGTCATTGGGATTTTGATGGGAATTGCATTAAACATGTAGATTGCTTTTGGTAGTATAGCCATGTTTACTATGTTGATTCTACCAACCCATGAGTACGGGAGATCTTTCCACATTCTGTAGTCTTCCTCAATCTCTTTCTTCAGAGGTTTGTAGTTTTCCTTGTAGATGTCATTCACATCCTGTGTTAATAAACTTTTAAACTTAATAATATTAAATTTTTTAAACTTTAAAATAAGATGCACATTGAATTTGTATTTTCATCCCTAAACACATTTTATCACATTTCAATTTGTCTCCCCAAATAGGTTGGAACAAATTAGTAATTGCATTTAAATGATTACTTTATGAAATCATTTATTAGAATCATAATATTTTCCAGTCCAGTATTTCAAATGACATAGATCAATGCTTGTTTTTTTGATAATTTTTGTGTTTCTAATTATAGGTATCTGTGGAAGAATTAGAAGATAGTGTCAGTATTAAAATAGCTAACGAAGCTGTGATGAATATAAATAAGCTTGGAAATCTTTTTAAACCTACAGATGGATTTCTGGAAACCAAAATATACTTTGCAGGATTACCTCGGAAAATGGAAAATACACTCATTAGACCGGTAATGATCCAAATTTATATCATTCATCATGGATGAATTCCTTTTTCTGTGATATCATTGAAGACATGTTTTCCATGAGAGTCAACAGAAGTTATTTTGTTAAACATACCAAGTGTGACAATTTGAATTTAACAAGAAAAAAGAACTTTAGTGACCACTGCAAATATATTGAGGAAATAAGAAAATTACTGCCATGTTTTTCTGTCCATTTAAATACCCAACATTATTTATGGAGAAGTAGCTTTTTCAAATTCTCAAGTGTCAGTTCAGAGTTAACCTTTTCATAATTTACATTCAACCATTAAGTGTATGAACACATATATTTGAATCCCAAGTCATATTATTCTGTAGAAGTCACGCAAAGATCTTTCTTAGGCCTATTTTGGAACAAATTTGAAAGTTATGGGTAACACAGAAGATGGAATGTACTATTTAAAAATGTTCAATACAACAGATGATTTTGTGAATATGATGTTTGTCAAATAACTGTAGAGTAGGTTTCATGAAGGAAATTAATCACTATCCTTGAAGAGTTTTAAAACTTTGAAACCATGGACTTGTCAAATAAACATGTTAATTTAATTTAAATATTTGCTACTTTATATCTACTTTTCACTTACAGCAATTCATAGTTACTTTAACTTTTAATAGATTTCTATGATAGTAAATCTGAATCAGTTAAACCATGTCAAAATCAATGTCCATTCTTTGAAAGTGATAAATTAAGATGCCTTTAAAGTAAAATAAATTATTTTTTAAAAAATCAATTGTTTATGAAATGGCTACTTTATACCTTGAATCTGGCCGGATGCTTTTGTGAAGGCTAAATAATGCAAACATTTTTGTTCCTGCAGTAGATTAGAGTCTGGATTAACAAGAAGAATCTATGTTGTAAATGCACATAAGGAAAACAGAAAGTACCTTAGAGGCCAGATAACACCCTCAGATAGATCCTGACAGAAGCAGATAGAGGACTTTCCTCTATCTCTGGATGACATGGGAGAGGCAGGTGACCTTGAGGTGTAAAAGTCATTCTTGTCCCACGGGAGACCTGCAATGGTATGGACTCACTATTACTGAAGATGACTACCCATCTGAGACACCTCGAAAAGAAAGAAAAAAAAATGGATTAAATTGAAAACATTTAAAAATATTTCAAAGATTGCCAAAGAAAGGGTTTTCCACCCAAATGTAACCTTCACCTAGATCATTGTTAAGTTACTTATTAGTCTGACGTAAGTACAAAATATATTCCGTGTCCTATTAGATTAACCCCCGTCTTGATGGCTGTATACGAAGCTGGAATTTGATGAAACAAGGAGCTTTGGGAGCAAAGGAGATTATTCAAGGAAAACAAAACAAGCATTGTCTTGTCCATGTGCAGAAGGGATCCTATTATCCTGGTTCTGGAGTTGCTCAGTTTACCATAGACTATAGTAAGTGACTTCTCATTTTATTTCTCTTTTGTCATTAATGACTAAATTTATTCATCAAGAAACGGTAAACATTGCTCAGTACCTACTATGCTAGGCATAGTGTTATGTGTGCCATTATGTACTTTTTATTTAAAAAAAATTCCTGGTATTTAAGGAAAAATATAAAGGCAGGTGAAAATGCTTATATGATTAAAGTTTATTGGCATGCTTGCTTTGTTCAGATTCAAATGACCTATTTTAAAATTTACTGGTTTCTCAGTTGCTTTGTGTTTAAAAATTAATGCTTCAAATGGCTTCATCTTCATTTCAGTCATTTTCATTTGATTCTTCCTTAAAATTTCTATCTTTCTGCTGAAATTGTATATTTGTTCACACATGTTTTCTAGTTTATCCACCTGAGCCTTCAACATATTCATCATAATTATTCTAATTTCCCTGATAGTGCCAACATTGGCGTCATATCCGAGTCTTGTCAGATGGATTCCTTTTTCTTTTCATTGCCTCTTGTTTTTCCTTGTGTCTTTGTGTATCAGAGAAGTTTTTGGTCTATAGGTGGGCATGGTACAGGGAGCAACAGAGATTGAGATGAATGCTATTTGTATCTGGAAACGAGCACATTCTTCTTTTACTATGTCCTTATTAGGAAGGGGTATTGACCTATCAAGTGAGGAATTGAGTTGGTCCTTGGGAAATGGGTTTTTACAAAGAGCAAGACCTTTCATAAAGGGTGCCTCTCCCCATTCCCTGGATTCCTTTCTTGTCATGAGATTATTTTCTCTGTACTTGCTCCTGCATTGATGCTATCTGGTTGAGCCGTTCTTATGTTGTTTGATCTTTCAGCCTCTAAAACTGTGAGCCAAATAAACCATTTTATAAATATGCGACCCAGTTCCAGTTTAAGGTATTTTTAAAAATAGCATTGGAAAACGTGCTAATACATTTAAGCTTCTGTTTAGGGTAGGGCCTTGTTTGCTAGAGAATTTCTTTTTTAAACATTTTATTAGCATATATTAGTTGTACATTTCATATAAGCTCACAATATATCTTGGTTTGGTTCATCTCTACCATCATTCTCCCTTATCCCCCTCCCCCACTTAAATGATTTCAATGCGTATAATTGTTCTACTTTCATGCAAGTATAGAAAGTACATTGACTGTATCTGTGATCCTTCACCCTCCATTCACCCTCTTGCCTCACACTAGTACCCATCCCCTAAGAGGACCCATTTTACATTCCTGTCTCCATTCATTAAATGTATATTCATTCTGCACAGGGGCTCCACCATGGTATTTCACATGTGAATATATTGAACTTTAATCAGATTAACCCTCTCTGTTATTCTTCCTTAACCTTTCCCCTCTACTCTTTGTTATTCAAGAGCTTACAGTATGCTTCCTTATGCTTTTTTCCTACACAGATGCAATGTATTTAAATATTAGTCACTCTGAATCATTTTCTTTTCCTCCCCTTCCTCCTCCTAGTCCCCTCAAACAGTCCTACTGTTGCAAATATGTTCTTAATATTCTATCTGCCTGTATAAAATGTTTGTATTTGTGTATACATTTATTTTTGAGATCTATCTTCCACATATGAGAGGAAACATGTGACTTTCATTTTTCTGAACCTGGCTTACTTTGCTTAACATGACACTCTCCAGTTGAATTCATTTACCTGCAAATGACATAATTTCATTCTTGATGGCTGAGTAATATTCCATTTTATGTGTACCACACTTTCTTAATCCATTAACCTGGTCATCTGTGATGTTTTCATAATTTAGCAATAGTGAGTAATGCTGCAATAAACATGGGTGTGCAAATGTATGTAGTGTACCCTGACTTGGGTTCCTTCAGGTATATGCCCAGGAATATCACTGGAATAAAGGGTAGCTCTATTTTTAGTTTTTTGAGGAGCTTCCATGCTAATCTCCATAGTAGTGATACTAATGTACATTCTAACCAGCAGTGTATAAGAGTTCCTTTTTCCCCAAATCCTCATCAATATTTATTGCTGTTTGTGTTCTTGATGATAGCCATTTTGACTGGAATAAGATGAAATCTTAATATAACTTTAATTTGCATTTCCTTTATGGCCAGGGATGTTGAGCATTTCTTCATATATTTATTGGTTATTTGTACTTCTTCGTGTGAAAAATGTTTAGTTCCTTTTCCCATTTTTTCGGGAGTAGTGGATTCTTTGGGAGTTCAATTTTTTTGAGCTCCTATAAATTCTGGTTATTAATCCCTTGTCAGATTGATAACTGGCAAAGATTTTCTCCTATTCTATAGTCTGTCTCTTCACTATGGTGACCATTTCCTTTGCTGTGCAGAGTTTTTTAGTTTGATATAATCCCATTTGTCAGTCCTTTCTCTTAATTGCTGAGCTACTGAAGCTCCATTCAGGAAGTTACTGACAATGTTTGTATGTTCCAGTATTTTCACTGTTCTTTCCTGCAGTAGCTGCAAAGTTTCATGTCTTACACTAAGATCTTCGGCCCACCTTTAATTGATATTAGTACAGGGTAAAAGCCAGGGACGTAGTTTCAGTCTTCTACATGCACATATCAAGTTTTCCCAGCACCATTTGTTGAAGAAACTGTCTTTTCTCCAACATATGTTTTGGGCTTCATTGTCAAAAAGTAGATGAATGTAGCTGCATGGTTTTATGCCTGGATTTTCTATTCTGTTCCATTGGTCTTTATGTCTGCTTTTGCTGTTTTTATTGCTACGGCTCTGTAGTATAATTTGAAGTCAGGTATTGTGATACCTCCAGCATTGCTCTTTTTTCTCATTATTGCTTTGGTTTTAGAGGTCTTTTGTGGTTCCAGATGAGCTTTAGGATTGATTTTTCTATCTCTTTGAAGAAAGTCATTGGAATTTTGATGGGGATTGCATCTACCACATAGATTGCTTTTGGTAGTACAGCCGTTTTCACAATTTTGATTTTCCTAATCATGAGCATGGGAGACCTTTCTATGTTCTCATGTCTTCTTGAACTTTGGTGACCTTTTGGTTTCATTGCAGAGGTCTTTCACTTCCTTTGTTAAGTTGATTCCTCAGTATTATTTTTGAGGCTTTTGTAAATGGGATATTTTTTCCTGATTTCTTTCTCAGTCTGTTCATTATTGGTGTTTAGAAAAGCTACTGATTTTTATAGTGATTTTGCATCGTGCTACTTTGCAAACAGGGATAGTTTGACTTCTTCCTTCCTTATGTAAATCCTTATTATTTCTTCCTCCTCGCTTATTGCCCTGGCTAGGAATTTAAAAAGAACTATATTGAATAAGAGTGGGCAGAGTGGACACTCTTGTTTTGTTCCTGATTTTGGAGGAAATAGTCTCAGTTTTTAATTTATAGCTAATTTAAATATGTCATTCAGATAAGCCAAGTCGTACAATACATGAATACATGATTTATATTGCTTCATCATTATTCTTATTCTATTTTTTTATTCTATTCCTTTGGTGAATGTGTTTATGAGATCTAAGAGTTTTTTTTGGTGGAGGTTTTAGGGCTTTTTGGCATAAGATCATATCAACTGCAAATGGAGATAATTTAACTACTTCCTTCCCTATTTGAATTCTTTTTATTCTTTCTCCCATCTTATTGCTCTGGCTAGGAGTTCCAATATTATGTTGAATAGGAGTGGGGAAAGTGGACAGTCTTGTCTTGTTCCTGACTTTAGAGGAAAAGGCTTCAGTTTTTTCCTATCTAGTATGATGTCGACAATAGGCTTGTCCTACTTAGACTTTGTTACGTTGTGGTGCGTTCCTTCTATTCCTAGTTTCTTGAGAGCCTTTATTATTAAAGGATGTTGAATTCATCAATGGCCTTTTCTGCAACTGTTAAAAAGATCACGTGATTTTTGTCCTTGCTTCTGTTTATATACTGTATTACATTTATCAATTTGTGTATCCCTGGAATGAAACCGACTTGATCATGGTGTGTGATCTTTTTAATGTGTCATTGTATTTGGTTTCCAGTATTTTATTTTTTACATCTTTGTTTGTTAAAGAAACTCGTCTATAATTCTCTTTAATTGTCATGTCCTTCTCTTGTTTGGAATGAGTGTAGTATTGGTTTCAGAGAATGAGTTAGGTAGTGTTCCTTCCCTTTCTTTTTCATGGAAAAGTTTGAAGAGTATTGGTATTAGTTCTCATTTAAAGGTCTGGTAGAATACAGTAGTATTAGATACTGACCTTTTTTTGTTGTCAGACTCTTTATTACTGCTTCTATTTCAATGCTTATTTTAGATTTATTTAGGTGATTTGGATCCTCTTGGTTCAGTTTTGTTTGGTCAAATGTGTCTAGAAATATATCCATTTCTTTTAGATTTTCTAGTTTATTTGAGTATAGGTATTACCTCATGATTCTCTGAATTTCATTGGTATTTGCTGTGATAGCCCCTTTTTCATCTGAGTCTCTTCCTTCCTCTTTCCAGTCACATTGGCTAATGGTTTATTAATATTATTTTTTTTCAAGATCCAAATTTTTGTTCCATTGATTCTTTGAATACATTTTGGTCTATTTCATTGATTTCAACCCTAATTTTTATTGCCTCTTTCCTTCTTTTAATTTTGGGTTCAGCTTTTCCTTGCAGTGGATCTTGAGGTGCAATATTCGGTGCTTTATTTGAGATCTCCCTGTTTTTTTTTTTTTTTTCTAATACAGGTACTCATAGCTATAAACATTCCCCTTAACACTGCTTATGCTACAGCATTATTTCAGTACATTCTAGAAACTTTTGATTTCCTCCGCTTATTTCCTCATTGACCTTCTGGTCATTCAACATGTTATTAAGTCTCCATGTGTTTGAATATTCTCTGTAGTTTCTTTTCTTATTGAGTTCTAGTTCTAGTTAGTCCTTTTGTGGTATGGTAGGATACAGGGAATTTACAGAAATTGTACTGTCCTGCTGCTGAATGAAATACTCTAGATATCTGATAAGTTGATTTGGTCTATGGTGTCATTTAATTCTGAGGTTTCTTTGTTGATTTTGT